TGGTCAAAGATATTGTTTTTCAATGCTCGGGTCAGTTGCCTGGGGAACCTTGCGCTTGCCCAGGGTTACTATTACTTCACCAACGCAGCATCTGGGGCAGAGACAGGAGTGGAGTACAGTTTCGTGTACAAGAAGACCATGTCCGGCAAGTTGAAGATTCTTGTGCACCACTCCTCTCTGCCAGCTCCAATCCCAGGGTTTCCGACGGATGCCAGTTCCAATTTGATGCAGGGAGGGGAAGAAGTGGAAGGGAAGAATGCCGCCACGGGCGGATGGCTGTTCCGCAGGTTCCACAGGATTCGCCAGTATAAGAAGGCAGGCTACAGGATTCGCCAGTATAAGAAGGCAGGCTGGCGAAGCTGCGAAGAGGATGTTGAAGCAACTCAGACAGCATGGAAAGATGCTATCCTGAGCATCTCTGCCTCTTATAGAGATGATCCTAACAGTCCGCAGTACATCCATCTGGCGGAGCAAGCCATCCAGAAGCTCTACGGATATGACATTGCAACTGTTATGTTCAAGCCGACCCTGGCAGTGCAAGAACCCTTCCGCCCCACTTACATCGGTGCTCTGTCATACTTCGTTGGCTACATCCCGACGAAAGCTCGGGGCGGCATCGAGGAGGATAAGGGCTTTGCCATCGCTGCCGGTGATACCTGGTCAGAGGTTGAATTTGAAAATAATCAGACCAGTTGCGTGGGAGATGTTGCATATTCCCAGGGCTACTACTACTTCACCAACGCAGTTTCCGAGAGCAGAACCGGGGTCGAGTACAGTTTTGTTTACAAGAAGACGTGGTGGGGCTTGAAAATCATTGTCCACCACTCCTCACTGCCAGCCTCAGCTGGTCGATGAATTCGTTTTGAACTGCTCCCAAAACCTGAAAGGGCTAGAGGTTTACTACAGGTTTACAGGCTTTTAAATGCCAAGGCTGCCAGTCAGTATGAAGTCTTGCTTTTGGACGGCTGCCTATTTTTGAAGCATGATCCTGGGTAAGATTGGGTTGAACCTTCTTATCCGGCGAATCAGTGCCCATGAGAGGGGTGTTATCTCAGAATTTTGGCAAGCGTCTGCCCCGAATGCCGACCTTGCAATGTTTTTGTCTGGTGGACGGTCCTTTTCCTTCCTAGTGTGCCTTCGTAACGTTCGGAGTTGTGCTATGCATTATTGCGGAGGGCGAAGTAAATAAGTGACCACGTCCTTATGCAGCGCAGCTCTGTAACATGATTCTTTCTGCTGCAACGGGTAAGCAACAGGGTCATCCACCTCAAGCTGCCAAGCAACAGTCCGGGCAGAAAGTGGCCTGTTCCGCTACGTGTTAGCATCGGCCACTTTACGAACTCTTCGTCACCCAGCAGGACGAAGCCAGTTGAGAGAAAGTCTGTGCCTCTTCGTTAGCGCCAGTATGCAGGTATGAGGATGCAAGCTTCTTGAATGATGTTGCTAGTGATGATGGTGAGTGATGCTGGCGATCATGGTCATGGTAATTCCCGTAACTAGTCCTGCGTGCTGATTTGACCTTCATCCATAATCTTCAGCAAGCCAGCGCACTGACAGATATTTTCTCCTGGGACGCCAACAAATGCTCGTCATCATTTCGACGCACAAGCTTGCGGAATGGCATCAACTTCTAGCCGAGGCTTAACGGGACTCAAGGACCACAGAGTGCGTAGCTACCTCGAAGCATGCTGACCTTGTGGTGACTCGCTAGCTGTGGATGTCAATTTGTGCCTGGATCTGCCTAGAAGCCTTCAAACTGCAAACCAAAGCTGGATGTGGCCAGGGCGGTCCTCTACAAAGCGCTTCTCCTTGTCCCCCCATTCTGCGTGATGATCATGGAGGCCGTCGGGGGTGCCGTCGGGGGTCGGGATTTTGACTGTGCCTGGTGTAGTTTTCACATAGTTTCGAGCACCGTTCTGTGGTGCGAGAACGCTGGCTTGGCCAAGCAGCGCGTACTGTACTACCAACACTGCAGTCAGGTGGCTCATGAGATTGCATGGCCTGAGCGCAGAATTTCAACTCAACCTGAATAAGGACAGTGCGGGGACTGTACGTCGAAGGAAGACCCACGGAAAAACACATCTTCTCAATTTGCGAACGGAATTCATTCGGTAGGTGGCACGGCTTCCCGGTGACAATATGCAGCTGCAACGCCCTGTCGGAGCCTGCGGTGCTGCCTGCACAAAAAGGCTATTCGAATGCTTGCATCAGTCAGCCTGTGTGCATGCATGGGACTGGACGCATGAACATAATGAGAAAGTTCATTGCTGGTATCAGTCGTGAGCATTCGCTTCGCAGATGGGATTTGGGCTCGTCTCTTATTTGGGTCTGCCATGTGCAATCATGTCATCTTTGGCCGGTTATTCACAGTGTTTGTTGCTTCCTTACCTCATGGGGGCATTTGACTGACCACAAGCATAAGCCCCACATCTCCAACATCTGCTTGCACTTGTCACAACTGCGTGAAGTCAAGGCCACACACACCTTTTGGATTATCAGCAGTGACTATGCAGAGACAGGCTCAGATGCAGTCAAGGCACATTCGGATGTTTTAGTTTTGACACATTATTTTTATGTGCTTTAATGATATGAATAATTCCCTGTTTGGTAACATGACTTGCTATAGCGGGCCGATGCAGCCATGGGCGCGAGCTGCAGGCTCACGGGTCAGCATGCAAACGTGCAAGGTCTTGGCTTGCAGAAGCTAGATGTTCAGCTCGTAGATCTAGAGCTCTTGCTGACAGTTCCTGCCCAAATTATTCCTGCAAAGCCGTGCTTCAGTGATTGGATGTTCGGGCTCCGTCCATGGGGCGGAAAAGCCTAACCTGATAGGCCTGGCACCCCTGCCCCGGAAGTGAATTCCCGCAATGGCCGTTGTCCCAGTCAGACTCTCGCCAAGATTGTGCCATCAGTTGTCGATGTTTTGTTTGGATGTTTTGGAAACGTTTTCGGGGCGTTTCTGCAAGCACGCTGATGGGGCAGTAGCACTGGGAAGATGTGATTCTGCGTGTATTTGAGCAGAATTTCTAGCCAGAGTTCCGGACATGCCACAACCCCAGTTCAACCTCAAATGGTGAATCGTGCGATGTCGTGAGCTCCATGCTTGCCTGAATGAATAGTGATCACAGGAATAGCAGCCAACAGGGCATTTTTCAAAGGCATGGCCCAGACTTCGCACCCTAGGCCCTAAGCCTAGCCCTAGACCCTACGCCCCAACCTTTATCACCTCTTCAAGTCCACCACTTGTTCCCCTTCAGGAAGGCTCCCAAAAGTGAGTTTATGCGACTCTAATCCCCCGCCTGCTATGAAAAACCCCCACCCCCTCACAGTAGGTAGTCCCAATATACTGAGGTAAGTACACTACAACGAAAGTATTCAGTATTAGGGGGTGGGAGTTTTAACAGTAAGCAGGGCGGTGCTGAAGATTCTGCATGACCTGAAGTACCTCACACCCAGGAAACATGGGTAATTTATAGTATACGAAGGTCATGCAGAATTTGTAGTATGCACAGCAGTATGACCACCATGCTGTGAAAAAGAATGTTTGGTGCTTCGGGGTCATTTGTACGGCACACGGCTGTCATTGCACAGCTTCCCAGATTCCCAAAAGGATCTAAAAATTAGATCCCCCAGAACCATAGGGGAAATTATACGAGGATAACATAGGGTATAATGGGTCTATATAGGGCATCTAACTTTTAGATCCTCCCAGGGGTCTGGGTTGGGGAATCGGGAGCAGATTGTTGGTTAGAGCAGTGCCTACCATGCCGTAGCTCCAAACCAACCTCGGCCTTAGACCAGCTGATCCGATGAGGGGATTTGGTTTTCCAGCAAGAAGTAGCGGCGCTGCGTTTAATCCGAAGCTACTCGTAGATGGGGTCCAAAGCCATTCGCTTCGATTTGTACTTGCGCAAACGGAGGGTGTGGGTCAAGAGGTGGCGTGGCCACTCAATGCCGACTGCGCATTCGACGTTCATCAAAATACTAGGCCTGTTGATCTCAGTGCTCCTCTACTCGGATAGCTTCGGGCCTTGTTGAGTATAAATCGGCAGCTTGAAGCTTGGTCGGCAGGCACACAGCACGTAACCAGAAGGCTCCTGGAACAGGCACTTAGCCAGCGTGAACTGCGGAGTTGCATCGCATTTCCTTGTAGTGACGTTGTGGATGCTGCATGAGAACTTACGGAGGTGCAGCTCCTGAAATTTCTGTATGTCGCCAAGCTGGGTTCCGAGTCCATCTTTGATCCTTCTTCCCCAAATCCGATACGCAAGGCCTTCTCAATCGAGCCGCTTTGGCTTCAAAACCAGCGCTGCCATCCCCCACCCGATCCCATATGTCCCGAATTATCCTCATTTGTGACGCCTCGTGTGTGAAACCCCCTTACCGACCTCCAGAAACCTCATTGCATCCCCGTACAATCCCTACATCATCCGTCTCAAGCATATGGCACTCACATAATGCCGAGAATACTGCTCACCTTCCCCCGTATGGGGGTTTCCCAAAATTAGGGTACCCTTTTTGGGGGTCCCTATAATAAGGACTATAGTATTTTGGGGTCTATATTGGGGTCTCTCTATTTTGGGAAACTACCATATAATCCTGAAACCTGGCCCTCCATGTAGAATCCTTGGTTGAGACTGCCATGGCTGCGCGAGCCAAGAAGAAGACAATCAGGCCTTCCAGCAGCAAGTACATTGGTGCGCAGAAGAGTTTAGGATAATTTGCGGCTTGTGTTATGAGATAGATAAGCGTTTCCAATATTTACGTCCCTTCAGCGAATCGCTCTACTCCTTGCTCTGTAAACCCTCATACATGTATATGTGTGTATATATATGCATATATACACCCATGTTTGGGAAGAGGTTGGTATGCTGCGCTAGGACACACGGTCTTAGTGAGGAAGTTCGCGCACCAACCTTATTGCAAAGTTTTAAGCTGATCAAAAGGTGAGCGTTTGGGGGCTTCGTCATGAGCTTTGCTCTTTGCGGCACACAACCACCTTTCCTCCTTCCTCTGATTGGTTTTGAATGGCCGTTCTTGGCTAGAATTTGGAAACAGGAGCAAGTGTTCGCGTCAGGATTTGCTGAAATCCTGGCTGCACCTTGTGATGTAGGGCAAACTACAGTCCTCTCCCTCCAGACACCCGGGCCTGCCGCACTGCAACTATTTATTTCCCTAGACTTACTTTTAGTTTGATTGCAATACAACCCCGAGGAACTATTAAGTACATTCTGTCTATTACAGGTTTAGGGGGGTTACAAACGCTCGAAACCCAAGTTGTTGAATGTTGTTGTTTCAAGCCGGCAGGGTATGAGGCGTAGGTCCAACGGTCACGAAAGCTCCTTGGAGGTGTGCGGTACTTGTCGTTTTTCCCCAGTTTTTAGCCTAGGTCGCCACCCTGAAAATGGCTTTCATAATTTAACGGTGTTGTGGGGGGGAGGCTGGCCCCTTACAAATTGATTCAAACCGCAAATGCCCACCTCAAAGCCATGTAAATTTGAAATAGATTCCCGACTCCCCTCCTGGGGTCCTGACGGGTGGGGAGAGCGGGGTCCCCCTCTCACTGATTTCACTGCCCAAAGCCTTCCTGAATAGTTTTTTTTTTTTTTTTTT